AGAATGATACATATGATTTCTGAATTTAACAAATAATCCAGTAAAGGGTTTTTTCTATTTCTTTTACTTATTGCTATGAAAACAAAAAAGTAGAAAAAAGTCACAAATACACATACTGTATATACACACATACATACACACATATATATATATATATATATAATGAAATGCTTTTACTGAAAACGAATAAGGTTATGCAAAATCAGAACCAACCTGGAATATCTTGAGCACATATTTGTTATGAGAATATTGAGTAGGTAAAATCCATTTTTGTGCCAATGTACAACTATGTTCATATTCATGTTACTAATAATTTCGGGAGCCTATTATTTGCCTACCTTATACATACTTTACTTCATATGATATTTATAACAAATCTATGAAATTTATTCTTTTCTTCATTTTATAGGTAAGAAAGTAGAGACTCAAATAGACAGAGTCATTTATCTAAAGGTATATAGCTCCTTAGGCTAGATTCCAGGTTTCAAATACAATTTTATCTCAAGTAAAAAAAAAAAAAATTCCTTCATCTCGTATGTGCTGTCCTGTGTGGCCCCGCCCCTAAGCCTCACCCTCCTTTGGCTAATTGAGGAACAGAACTGGAGACAGGTGGAGACTCTGGTTCAAGTGCCCCGCCCTCATCTCTGCTGCTGCCATTTATTCTGGAGGAAAGCAGATAAACTTTGTTAGATGCTACTAACGCTGAATGGCAAGAAGACAAATGAAATGAATCGAGGCAAGAAAAATGACCTGACTTCACAGAGGACAGAGTTCTTAAAGGGAAAGAGACCGTTGCTTGTAGTCAACAGGGACCTTGCACTGCCCTCGCGGGTCACACCGCTGCCTGTGGCAGGCGCCTTTGCCCACCAGTGCACTGCGCTCCCAGGGCGGGGCTGGGACCCCCTCAGATTTGGCCTGTGCGGCAGTTCAGGCGCAGTTCCAAGGCACCTGAAGAAAAAAGTTATATTCTACCTCAAAACAATTATTGCTGGGATTGAGCTTTCTGTCAGAGGCGTCAGGGAACGGTTGTAGGCTTCCAGCCGAAGTTGACTAGAATGAGAGAATGGCTCTGTGGATTCAGCAGACTGACCATGATTTAGACGTGATGGCCAAATGAAACAAAAACCTAATCTTTTGTAAAAGCGGAATTTTCATGTAGGCAGAATATGGACTCCACCAGAAGGTGGAAGACCCTGCCATTTAACTTCTGGACTCTCAACTCTTTGAAAAAGTGCTGGGCACAAAACGGGCTGTGTGCTCTCTGAGAGTCCAAGTCGTAGCTTTGCCTCTTCAGCAGAGCTTGGCAGCTTCTGGTTCTTTGACTAAGTTTAGTCACAAATGTACTTTGTGTGATTCCTACAGCTTGAGCCTACACAGTGATTGGGATTTCAAGCTTTGGATGACAAATCCTCAAATCAAGCCCCGGTGGACTTTCATTTTTTCAGGCAATGAATTTGAATAGAGGTCACTCCTTCAGACATGGCCTAGGCTTTACGGTTGGCTCCATGCCTGGCCCTGCCACGAGATACTGAAGCTCCATTTGCTTTTATCGTTGCACTTCTACTGAGCAGTCCCTTCCAGTAGAGTGAAAACCTCCTGGCTCCTGTGCACATCTGGGCTAGAGACACCTATAGGCATCTCACTTTCAACCACTAACAATAAGAAGTGGACATTCACCTTGCCAGTAATTATAGCAAAGTTAACAAGAAAATAATCTTTTATAGCTCCCTTAGTTATCCTAAAGAAATGTTTCAAATTATAATTTTTTGAAAACAATTTCTCATTATGTCTATAGCGTTATTCTCCCCCCCCCCTTTCAGTAAAACAACAACAACCAGTCAATTTAGGGGACACAAGTACATTTGAATCCCAAACTATCAACATCTTGTGTACTTAAACTCTTTCGGGTTCTGTGAACACCTTTAAATAGCTCAGTCCAAAACAAAGCCAGTAAAAAGGAAGAAATAAAAAGAAAAATAAAAACCTACTGATGAATGAACGATTGCAGAGAGGCATTTATTTGTCACTACCCATTTGAATCAAGAATTCTTAACAAAACAAAACAGTGGAAGCAAGCCATTTAAGCAGGTCACCTCTAGAGCAGAGTTCTGCTTGGGTAATGGGCAATGGTAAGTACGGCTGGAAGACTTGATAGGACAGTTTTTGATTTCTGAAAACAGACTTTTCAGGCTTCCTATTGGCTCCTGAGTAATGCCTGTGTAGGTCAGACTTGATGTGACCGAATGAGTAAACGTTCTGTGATCGCTCATCATTTATCACTCCTCCAGGGAGACAGTTTCAGCCTGTATAGATCCATGATGTGTATGGGTTTCACTTTATGAAATACAATGACTCATGTACTGTGTTTGGTATTTACAAAGAAATATTGGGCCTGGTCACAGCTTTTAAGGGGTTGTCTGAATATAACTGAGTCAATAAAAATTATTTTACAGAATGACATAACACTAAACACCGGTAAATGTTGGTATTAATTTTGATAAACATTAGTATAATGATATTAGTAAACTATTTTTCATAGAAAAGAAGTCCATTCATAAAAAGAGCATGCTTTCTTCCTCACATCCACCCTGAGAAATAGGTAGACAGATGAGGAAATTGAGAGTGTAAGAGTTTGGGACTTCATGTCACATAACTAGAAAACAGGGAATCTAGGCTACACCTCAGGTATTCTGACTGATCTTGCTGCATAAACATTAGGAAAGAGTAAATTCTCTGGGCTCTTGAGAAGAAAAGAAATATGTGTACCCCAAGATATGGCTTGAGCTGTTGTTTTCTCTTTTTATAAAGTATCAGGAAACACAAAGTGCCATTATTATTGTTTTTACTTCATCATTAGTGGGGGATCTGCAAACTGGTTTGGGCAGAACATTTCAGTTGAATGGAGCTTTTCTCTGTTTTCCTTAGGAGGGAGTCTGAGAGTTTCTCTTGTAAAATGGAGAACAGCTGCTTGCTTCTGGGAAATAACCACAGCCCACCATCAAGCCTGATAAGAAATCAGAAACTTTTTTTGAGCAAGTGTCATAAGGTAGTGATAAGGCTCTAAGCAAGAAAGTAGGCAAGAGGCATGTGTTTGAAACAAATGGATTCCAGCTTTAAAATCCAAAAACAGATGCAAGTCAATATCAGTAAAGGGAGAGAGGGCTGTACACCGAGCAGAAAACCAAGAGAGTGATCAAGTTAAACACGTTCATAATGCAAGTAGAGGAAATGATCAAAATAACCACCAAAGAACAGTCAAGTCTAAATCTAACGTTTTTTTCCCCCCTTTCCGGTAATATGTTGCCATTGTTGAAACCTCACATCAGTACTTTATAAAACTGTAGATGTCGTCGTTTGGGCAGTAAACAGCGCTGGTAATGGGTCTTCCAAAGAGCAATGCCACTGTGCAGGAGAGGAATTCAGGGAGCCAGGGAAAGCAGCACAGCCACCGTGCACGATGCGAGCCAACGCCAGACAGGTCTAGTCATGGAAATGTGAGCGCCCAATATTTCTAAGCCACTCGCCCTTAATAGGTCAAACTGAAATAATAATGCAAAGCACCATTTTGAGAAATAAAGTTATAATTACCAAAGTGCTTCAAAAATAGTGGGGGTTAAATAAACTGTTGCTATTCTGTTCTTCCACATGCTTCCCTTAGCTAGAGCATGTGGTTTAAATATGGAAAAATGATGAGAAAATACCACACAGGAGTAAAGTCTGGCAAGAAGAAGTTACTGCCTAGCTGGTATAACTGGAGGAAAACCAGGCCTGTTTTGTTCCAAAGCTCCTGCTATCTCCTTCTTCACCAACAAAATGAGATGCTATGGAAGCAGTTGAAAGGTGGCAAAGACCTTCGCTTTCAAGTTTCAGAGTTATTACGCCATAGTTCTTCTGTCCCCGTAGCTTAAATACGCGGGTCCTCTTTCTGCACTGGTCAGAGGCATGGGGAAGGGGAGGCATGCTCCGGAGCCCAGCGCACTCTCCCCAGGAACCCCGGCGCGGCTAGATCTCCCTTCCCCATCACAGCTCCAGCCTGCATCGAACCATCCCCGAGCCTAGGGAACCCCCTCTGGAGAGGAAACTTTGCATCATGCTTAAAGATGCAACTGCGGGTAGTAAAATTCCTGTTTCAGAGCCAAAGGAGGAAACGCAGTGCGGGAGATGTTGTGCTTGCTGCAGAGGAATATATTTTTGGATTTTTCTTGGTCCAATGGTGAGAATGATATGTGGGAGGAGGAAATATTTGAGTAAATATGGTAAGGGGATGAGAGGCTGTAATACGAGCCTGGTGTCTCAAGGGAAAGTTCCTACAGTTGTGGCCCATGGACAAGAGTTTAACCCCTCTTTAGTCCACATTTCTCCTTTCCGGACCTGGCTGGAATCCCCGACCGAGGGCTTTTTTTTTTTTTAACCCCTCCTCTGCTTCCCCCGCCTTTCCGCCTTTCTCTGTGGCTTGCACGCTGCTGTGGTAGGCTGGCCTCTTTGCCCGGTCCAGTGTCTGTCCCGGGGCAAGAGCGAGCGACTGTAGGAGGCTGGCTGGCTCTAGGGAGTGGCTAGGTACGGGGAGGGTGTGCGTTCCAACCCTTGAACCCAGCCATGTCAATACGGGACAGCTGGATTTCTTTCTTGGCGTTGGCCTGACTCAGTTTACTTAGTCTAAGAGCATGAATTAAAGGCCAAGGTTGAATGACTGTTTCAAGTCATTCAAGTCCCGGAGCTGTGTGTGCCTAGTCACACATTAGGACTGGGATCCCAGGGCAGCTGAGACTTGCAAGAGCTGCAAATGTGGTCAGTGGAAATGAACTCTGAATTCAGCTCCACGGCACGTGACTTCCTATTTCTGTAAGGTACTTCCAAGGGACTTCCTCTGTAAAACCAGCCAGAGTCCTCCGAGAGTTCATTCAGCGCGGCTGGGAGGTTTACTTGCAACTCGGGACAGAAGTTTTTCCCTGAGATACCGTGTCAGTTTCTTTCCTTTCTCTCTCCTCTGTCACTGCCAGCATGCAAGGATCTGGTGGCTCCTGTCCGTGATCGGAAGCTGAATACCCTGGTGCAGATCTCGGTAATCCACCCCGAGGAGCGGGGGCTGACAAGGTACTGCAGCACGGAGATTGTGGAGGTGAGCGTGCTGTGCGCTCGGGAGTCTCTCTCTCTCTCTCTCTCTCTCTCAGCAAGAGCTCTAGTAAGTTAGCTCATGGCATGTAGCTATGCTGTGTTACTGTCCTCTGTCACTTAGGAAAGCATACCTGAGGTTATTAAGCATGCATTGGTAACTCCCCAGAATAAACAAACAGGGAACAACTTGCCTTTTTCATAAAAGACCTTATTTTTATTTAGTAAATAGAAAGAAAAATTCTCACTTTGAATCCCTCAAGAGAATGGCAAATGGAGAAAAACATACGTACACATTTTAAATTAAATGGAATGAATGTTTTTTTGGGGGTGGGGTGGGGTGGGGAGAAAGTAGTAAAGTACCCAGAGAAGTTTTAAACTTGTGAAATGGTTTTTTGCCCTTTTCATTTTTCCTGTATTCTTCAGTCTGTCTGTGGAAACCATAGTCTCAGCTGTTGTGTCTGCCTTTTTAAAGGACAATGTTTTCCAAAGAAAGGTATATGATGATTTTGAGAACCTGTAATATTTCTAGGGAAAAGGTGTAAATATTACTCATCAGATGAGAGATTTCCTATTTACATTTATTGCTACTAACATAACATTCAATGTGTCGAGAGGAAATTTGTTATTGTGTTGGATCAGATTCAAAAGAGGAAGTGTTTCCCTTTTGATTATTTAATTCTTATCAGACATTTCACAATATTAGTGGACGAGAGAGAACTTATTTGAGCGTCTGGGACTAAAGAAAGTGCGCTCTCAACTCCCTCAGCTTTGCCTGCTTGTCTTAGACCCGACAGCTCTGTTTGTTTTGAAGGAGGAGTTTCTCTGTGAGAAGAACCTGCCTCAGACCAGGCTGGCTCAGTGCTGACCTGTGTCTTCACGCAGTTGGTGGAATAAATCATTCAGTCGGATCGCCTCTCATTTCTCTAATGGGAACAACCCAGCCCTGAATGTGCCCTGTGGAACCTCTGGGTTCCAAAGGTGGTCTACTTTGTGATGAATGCTGTAGGTGAACAAACACAAATAGTCTTATTCATAGAAAGAAAATGCAAGTGAAATGGTACAATGGTTCATTTATAAGAAAAAAAAATTAAGTGTTATTCCAAGTTAGTTTTAAAATATTGTCAAAATATAAAAGAAATTATTTATTTTGGCACACTTCAAATTTTTCTATTTGAATGTATGTAGTTGTTTTTGGCGTTTTTATTCACTTTCTGTTCTAAAGTGTCTAACACAATGAGGAATAGAAGTAGTATTCACTGAATAAAGAGAAGAAATAAATGAATCCGTGAATGAATCTGTGAATGAATCACTTGGGCTTTCAGAAACTTCCAAAGACAACTGGTTTATAAAATTCTCGCAAACATCTCAATGCTGTTCAGCAATGCGTGGTGTGGCAAAAGTAAGTTGCAGTTGTGAGTACGTGTTGAGACAGTTTATTCTTGCATTATTACTTATTAATTATTGTATTTTCCATATAAACAACTGTAGATCCACTTTTGCCCTACCCTGTATTGATATTTAAATATAGATATAAAATTTAATGTCGGATGTCAGCTCTATAAAAATGAATTCTGAGACACTGAAATATCCTGTGCACTGTATCCTGAGCCAGTAATTTCATAGCCCCATATCCATCATAATTAGTTTCTTTCATTAGTTTTCTAATCGGTCTGAGAAGAACACAGAGCTGAACATCTAAAAACAAATGGGCATTATCAGCGCATGGCTTTCCATGGAATCATTACAGAAAGGAAATAAATGGACAGCGTAAGCTTTCCAAATGGTTCTTTATGAGAAAAGTGCTTCATTTTAATTTGATCAGTCAATATCTTAGCTTATACACATAAGTTACAGGTTATATCCATTAAATGTATTCTAAATGGACTGACAGCTGACCTCAAAGTAGGGTTCTGCATATAATGAAAATAAATTGGTTTTCAAGACGGTTAGCAGCTCTGACAAGGAGGCAGGGCATTTACTATCAACAGCTATATCAATACTTTGGGGCCTTGGGCCATGTTGTTGTCTATGAGTATCATTTGGTAAATCAGATCTTTCTTCATAGAACTATTTCCTAGAAAAACAAACAGACCCAGACACACTTTCTGTATTCTCATGTGTCACTGCTGCTGCCGACTACAGTTGCCGACTTATTGAATCCAAGTTGTCTGCCTGTGCCATTACAGGGAACAAGGGACCCGCTGTTTTTGACGGGCGTCACCTTCCCATCTGAGTATCCCATCTATGAGGAGACCAAAATAAAGCTCACAGTCTATGATGTCAAGGATAAGTCTCACGACACCGTAAGTACCTGTACTTTTTTCTTTCTTTGGAAAAAGAAGTTATGCTTTTCCAAACTATTGGATTTTTTTTTTAAGCATAACTTGCATTTTTTTCAAAGAGGGCATTTATATGTGTTGATGCTTGTCTTATATTTATAGTTTACTTGGAATTTTTTTTTTCCAAAATTCATTTGGCTTAGTGCCAAAATGGCATTTGGGTAAGAGCGAAAGCTTCTGAAACTGATTTTTATGTTTTTTAGGAAAGTTGGCTTGACCTCTCGGTTTATATTTTTGTTGTTGTTTTTTTAAGAAGTTGCTGAAGGCGTAATACTGTGGTTGGAGTGCAAATGGAAGAAATTAAATAATGGTTCAAAACTGTCTGGATGGTGTAATTACTCTAAAATGGGACTGACCAAATGCTGTACTTTCTCAATTTATTCTTTTACCAAAGTATGGAGAGAAATTCCCTCTGTATTTCCTGATATTTTTCCTGGCACCAAAGCAAATGTAATCGAAGCACTAGGCAGAAGCCTTAATTGTGCTCTTTCCATGAAAGTCATGTAAAAGTTCCAATGACTTTTTGTTTGTCCTAGATTCTTCAGTCTACCGGGTCTGACTTTTCCTCCACTTGAACCAGACCTTCTGGGTAGACAGTTAAGTACCCAAGCAACCTCTCAAGAGGCCTTTCTTAAAATTTCAGGACAGGAGAAAATGCTATTGGGTAGGCATTGGCAAGGAGCACATTTAAAATGAGCCTCTTCCTTTAATCTCTCTTTAACATGGATTTTAGTCTATGTTCAAGGCAGGGAACCTTGATGGTCAACAATGAAGCACACACCAGGAGACGCTTGGAAGGCAGGTGGGCCGGTAGGTTCCTGGAGAATTCTGGATGTAGCTCAGGGATGTTGCTGGACCTGGAGAACAGCGCAGCACCTTGTCCAGGGGACACTTATCTTTAAACTAGGCCTTCACTTGGGCATTTCTGTTTTGCTCCTGCCTCTTTCTTTCCTTGACATTTTTTACCACAAAATATGTAACATACATGGATAGTGGGAGTATTTAATAGAGAAAAAATTCTATATTGAAGGAATGTCAACTCATCTTGGTCCCAGGAACATTCATCTTTTTAAAATTAAGGAAGAAATGCCCAATTACATACACAGCGCGTATGTGAAATATTGATAGAAATAGTTACATGGTTGGGTACATCAATGATGAAGGCGGACTGCCTGGTACCTACTGTATTTACTCGCTTCGTGACCCTGGGAAATTTAATTCTCTGTGGCTCTGTTTCTTTATTTATAATATTTACCCTGTGGGGTTGTCGTGAGGGTTAAATAAGTTAATATAGGTAAAATATTTAGAAGATTAACCATTACAAATTAATTAATAAGTGCAAGTTGTTGTTTTCATTATTGTTCTGGCTGCTGCTCCATAGTCCCTCATAAGTAGGAAAAATGAAATAAGAAAATATTTACTGAGATCTTTTATTTATTTACTGTTTTTTCCTTAAGTGGCATTGTGTTTATTATTTCTGACTTCCTTGAGGAAGAGGGGGCAATCAAAAATATTTTGCAACACAAGATTGGGATTAAAGTTGGCAACTATAAAAAATATTTGTTTGGGAATTTTGTTTTTTCCTTTCTATTTTCCTTGATTTCTAAAGCCACAAGTAGAAAAAGAGAAGACCGATCCAGACCAAGTTTGATAGACTCTGCACAAGGCCATGTGCAGATTGATGGCTGTCCTGGAAAAGAGAGAGAAATGAAGAGCATGGCAAAAAACCATAAAGTTGGGAAGGAGAGAGAGATGGTTCAAATAGATGGTGGGGGGAGGAGATATAAGTGTGCAGGGAGTCATAAACAGAGAAGCACTCAGGATGACAGGGAAAGCAAAGCAGTAACTATGGGGTTTTATGTTCTTCCAAGCACCCGATCCAGTTCAGCCTTCCCTGCAGTCCCCAGGCACAGATGGGACAGAGAATACGGAAGGGACAGAGTTACAGAAATGCTATGTGACAGGAATGAAAATGTTGCCCCTAAACTCTTGGGCTTAATATGTCTTCAGAAATAATCCATGTTAGAGATAAGAAACAGCAGCGGTGTTCCTATCCCCTTCAACCTGCCTCATTTAAAATGTGCGTGTATTTGAATGCTTTAGGGGTAATTAGCTCACTCATTAATTATGTTTTTGTTGGCTTCTATTTCTGGAAAGTAATTACTTAGGGTCTTTTAGAGACTTTTGTCCTTGATCAGAGGTGTTATCACACAAAAGTATTGGATGAACTGGAGTCCCTGCTGTGAAAGAGGACTCACGAAATTGGAACATACTTGAGAAAAGCAGCCAGCTTTCATTAACCAAGCGCTGTTAATTAAGGCACAGCCTCTTCTTTAAAATAACTACCAGTTAGCTCTGGTGATGGAAGTGTAAATAGGAACACCGTTTGTTAACATGCTAATAGTCCCCATGGACGTAGACTTTTCTTCCTGGCACTTTTTCTCTCATTCCTGAAGTTTTTCTTTGGGGTGGAGGGAGGCAGGGTACGGGGAGGCAGGCAGTAGGTTTGAAGTATACTTTTTTACTTTATAATTATCAACACTTAATAACCTAAGTATTTTAAGGTCATAATACTTTTAAGGCTTGAAGAATGAGATTATATATATGTGTTTTGGAAAATTAATGAATTGTATGCACATATCTAAAAGTAGCTTTAACACGTGATTCTAGTCACCAGTGATCGTATTAGGCTGGCCCAGGACAATGAGGTCTTTTGTATAATGGTTGAATTCTAGTTAGTGGAGTCAGATGACTAAGTTGCTTGTCTTTTCCTACTGAGTTTATGGTTACTTGGAGTTAACCAGTCAATTAAATTTGTTACTTTGCCACTTCATATTCATTTACATACTTTTTAAAGAGAAATGATAAACTGTCATTTGTGCCTTTGATACAGCCATCATCTAACCGTTGTTCTTATATTCCCCTATAGAACTGGACCTAAGATTGATTATTTTACTAAGGTTAGCAGAAATGTAATGCATCATTGTAACAAATGAGGAGAGTCTCACTGTTGATTCGGAAGGACTCTTGCTTCCCCTTCATCTTTCATCCTTCCCACTCACTGTGGTATGGGGGGGTGGGGGATCGGGGGGTAGGGTCATTACGAGAATCAGAGTGACTTTGCTATTATTTTCCTCACCGTGAGGAAATGATCTGTTTTCTAAAAGTCGGCTGCTCTAACATTCAGCTGTTCGGTGGGGAGTTGAAAGCTTGAAACTAGAGCCCAATTTTAGGATATGAGAGCCCAGGTTCTAACAGGGGAGTCGATGTCTCCTGGATACGTGCTGGTTGTATGCTCTAGTTTAAATCTCCTGGAAACTGCAACAGGATAGACAGAAGTGATTTTAGCACATCCCTTACAGTGCTCACCCCTGGGAATCAAGCTGGGCCTTTCTTCGGTTACAGAAAACATCTCAGAGGAAGGAGAAATTTATGGAGGAAAAGAACATCACCATCAAAATTTGTCTCTCTTTTCCCTTCTTCCTGTGTACAGAGTGAACTAGGCTCTTCCAACACCCAGCTTAAGACAGCCATCTGTCTGCAAACCATGATCAGGTCACAGAATTGTTTTTGCCTGTGGTGGATATTTCAATTTCTAATGTGTTTTGCAGGAGTGCACATTGGTCCATTTCTTTTGCTCTTCGGGCAAATATATCCCCAATTTGTAGACGTTTAGCTTATAGGTCAGAGTCCCATGAGAAACGATAAACTGAATATTTCTCAGGTGAGGATACATGCTCTAAGACATTTTTTACCACCATTTACTAGCAACCCGCGATTTGTGCCTTTCAGAAAACGTGGCCTCATCAAGACTGGACGTGCATTTATTACGCTGTGTGTTATATGCCCAAGGCAGTTTAGCTCTAGTGCAGTTCCCTACACAGGAGTGTCCAGTTCACTTTTATGGTTTTCTATGGAAAATAAAATCATTTACATTCTGTACACTTGGGCTTGGCTTCATTTTCTCTATTGGCTTCTTACAAGGTTAAGTCTGTTGAGGTGCAGATTCCATGAGCCGGCCTTTGTGTCTGTCTGGAAGGTATGGTGCAGTGGATAAGAAAAAAGAAGCTGAGGTTACTGATCACTAAGTACATATAAAGCACTGTGTTTAATGTGCTATGTATAGTTTCTTCTTTAATCCCCATAAAAATTCTTGGAGGGAAGTATTCTGATATCCAATTTAAAGATGAAGAAATTGGGATTCTGAAAACTTATGTAGGCCCAGTCAAAGGTCCTTTATTTTTTCCAGGCCATGTATGGTACATATATTGTTTATAGGATGTCCCTCAGTTTTTGCTCCCATGGTATGGTGTTTTTACTTCAGGGATACTTTAAAAGCATTCTTCATTTGTAGCTTAAAAACTGTTTATTCAAAAAAGAAGTCAGTGTTCAAAATTAGGAAAAACTGATATCGAGAATTTTCCAGCATGTTAATTAAGCATGTAACCAATTGCTGAATAAATTTTATAATGATGTGGCCAACTGCTCTTCATGAAAAAAAATAGCTGTTGTCATCTGTGACGAAATGACTAAGTCTATGGCTCAAACTTTGGTTTTTGCCCCCTGCCCTTGTTCTTCTCCTTTCTGTTGCGCGTTCCCAGCCTGCTCAGTCACTCCGCCTTTGCGCAGCTTTCGGAATGCTCCTGCCTGTGCAGCGACATGGGTGCAGGGGAGCCCCTGATTTCAGTTAGAAGCAGGGGAGGCTTCTGAGACACTGCTGCCCTTCCCACACCGCTCCACTTTGTTCTAGTAGTATATAGGCCCTGGGTAGTATATAGGCCCTGAGAACATATTTATATTTTATTGAGGTATCATTCACATACAATAAAACAGACAGGTCTTAGGTGTTCAAGTCGATGAGTTTGACAATGGCCTATGACCATATAACCTCTATGCAAGGCAAGATCTAGAACATTGCCATCATTCCAGAAAGTTCCCTTGTACCCCTTCTGGTCAATTGCCAC